ATGAGGCTTTCTGCTCCCGTAAAGATTTACAGCCTTGGAAACCCTGTACAGGGTCGCTATGAGTCAGAACCGACTCCACGGCACATAACAACAACAGGAGAAGAAGCTGAATAGGGGTGGCGAAAGAGGAGGCAGATAGGTGAACTGTGGGGCCTGACCTGACTGGACACTGCCATCTTAAACTTTTGTGAGCAGCATTTGATCCATACAGCAGCCTTGACGGTGCAGATGCATATTGGGAGATGCGGACAAGAAAGGTTAGGTTCTTGTTCCCCACACTGACCAGAGGTATGGCCGGCACCCACCCTCTCCCACCCACTGCACAGCCCCTACTCCTTCAGGGGTTGGAGCCATGCCATTGAAAATCTCCAAGCCAGGTTCACCACCCCTGAGTCTGAGGGTGAGTGAACTCTGTCTCATCAGACCAGCAAAACACGCAGTCCCCTGCCCACCCCCAAATGAGCAGAAACTCTCATAACCAGCTGCTCTGCCCCCAGCTGCTCTGGGGGCCTAAAATAGTTTCTTCTAGGAACAAAGATCCTGACCTCAGCCATCATTAGGGTCTGCAAGAACTACGTCCGGATTAGGTATCCTGATCATAGACAGCCCGTAGGCCTACAGGAACTCCATCTAGGGTTACGCACACTATTCTCTCACCGCTTCACATCCTCTTTATGAGTCCTTGGCTGGCCGAGTGTTCAAACCCTGAGTACCCTGCCACCACCCCCCACCCCCCAGTTTTCTCCTTTCTAGGTCCGACCCTGCCCTGGTTTTTGTATTTCTTCCCCGCAACCTCTTCTTCTGTCTCCCTTCCCTTGTTTTTTATCCTTTCTTTCTCTGCTTTCCTTTTCTTGAATTTTATTCTGTTTTTCTTTTCTTTTTCCCCGCCCCTCATTTCTTTTTTCACTTGATTTTTCTTCACTGGTCTCTTATCTCTTTATCTTTTCTTCTTTACGCTCCCAGTTTATTGTGTTTTTTCTTTTTATTTTCTCTCTTCTTTTTCTATTCCCATTTTATTTTCCTTTCTCTTTTTATTTTTAGTTATTATATTATTTTTTTCTTTCTGATGCCTGGGTTTTTTCCTTTTCTTCATTATTTCCATTTTTCAGTTTTTGGGTTTTTTTTCCTCTTCTATGCATGAGTTTTCTTTTTTTCCTTTTGCCCACCAAATGGGATACAGCAGCCACATCCATACAATCCAGCCACAAATGTACTTCCTGAAACCCCACCCTGGGAAGGAGCCACTACCAACACCTGTATCATTTAATCTACCCATGTTGTACTATGCTACATAAACAGCAAACAGAACTGTACACCCACTTCCATTCTCTATCACATCCACCAAGAGGCAAGTGGTGAATGTCCAAGAATACAACATATACTCATCAATTAATTGGAACTACTTGATAAAGAATTTCAAAGAATTATATTTAGGAACTTTCAACAGATTGAGAGAAAGATGGAGAAAGTTGCAGATGAAAACAGGAGAAGAAAGAAAAACTTTAGAAGTAAAGAACAAAATATATTAAAAATTAGAAATAATGCAAAAACTGCAAACATAAATCTGAAATATTAATACTAAAATTTCAGAAATATATACTACATTGAAAGGTCAAAAGAGTAGAGTTCCATCAACAGAAGACCAAAGTAGGTAGTGAGCTTGAAGACAACTCTTTCAAAACTAGTCTGCTACAAAAACAGGAAAAAAAGAAGAAGAAATCCAAAGAAAGATTAAGAATTCTGAAGGAATAGATTGCATGTCCACCACTCATCTGTTAGCTTGTCGTACTGTAGTGGCTTGTATGTTACTGTGATTCTGGTAGCTATGCCACCGATATTTTAAATACCAGGAGGGTCACCCATGGTAGACAGGTTTCAGATAAGCATCCAGATTAAGACAGACTAGGAAGAAAAGATTGGCTAGTTCTGAATATCTGGTCACTAAAAACCTTATGAAAAGTAGTAGAATACCATCAGCTAGCACCCAAATATTGAATAGTGAAGAAAAGCACCAAAACCTTGTCAGATATAGTGCCAGAAAATTAGCCCCTCAGGTTTGAAGGCACTCAAAATACAACTGTGGAAGAGCTGACTCCTCAAAGTAGAGCATACCATGACAATATAAATGGAGTAAAGCTTTTGGGTTCTTCTTTTGCTAATGGGGCACAACTCCATTAATAATTGGAACATCCACCACTCGTCTGTCAGTTTGTCATACTGTGGTGGCTTGCATGTTGCTGTAAGTCTGGAAGCAATGCCAAAGGTATTGTAAATATCAGTAGGGCCACCCACAGTGGACAGTTTTCAGCTGAGCTTCCAGACAAAGGCAGTCTAGGAAGAAGGAGAAATAGACTACTTCTGAATATTTTGTCACTGAAAACTTTATGAATAACAATGGCACAGAGGCAGCACCAGGATATAAAATATTGAAACATGTGAGGCACCAGAATATTGTCAGATTGTAAGGTACCCTCAGATTAGAAGGCACTCAAACTACGACTGAGGAAGAGCTGCCTCCTCAAAGTAGAGTTGACAATGATGAGAATGGAGAAAGTCTTCAGTACCTTCATTTGCTGATGGGACACAACTCAAAATGAAGAGAAACAGCTATAAACATCCATTAATAATTGGAATATGAAATGTACAAAATATGAATCTAGGAAAATTGGAAATTGTCAAAAATTAAGTGAAATGTATAAACATCGATACCTTAGACATTAGTGAGCTGAAATAGACTAGGATTGGCCATTTTTACTCTGACTATCACAACTATGCAAGGAATGACAAATTGAGGAAGAATGGCATCGCATTCATCATAAAAAAGAACATATCAAATTCTGTCTTAAAGTACAACATTGTCTGTAATAGGATAATATTCATACACCTATAAGGGAGACCAGTTAATACCACTATTATTCAAATTTATGCGCCAACCACTAAAGCCAGTAAAGATGAAATTGAAGAATTCTACCAACTTCCTCTGTCTGAAATTGATTAGACGTGCAATTAAGATGTACTGATAGTTACTGGCAATTGGAATGCAAATGTTGGAAACAAAGAGGAAGGATCAGTAGTTGGAAAATATTGCCTTGGTGATAGAAACCATACTGAGGTCACATGATAGAATTTTGCAAGACCAATAACTTCTTTATTGTAAATACCTTTTTTAAATAACAGAAAAGACAACTATATAGATAGACCTTAACAGATGGAATACACAGAAATCAAATTGACTACATCTGTGGAAACAGATGGTAGAAAAGCTCCATTGTTGTTGCTGTTAAGTGCTATCAAATCAAGTCTGACCCATAGCAATCCTGTATAGGGTTTCCAAGGAGCAGCTGGTGAGCTTGAACCACTGACCTTGCAGTTCAAACAACTTTGCAGTCTGATGCATTAGCCCACAGAGCCCCACAAGGACTCCAGGAAAGCTCTATACCATCTGCCAAAACAAGGCCCGGAACAGACTGTGGAACAGAACATCAATTGCTCATATGGAAGTTCAGGCTGAAGCTGAAAAATTAAAACAACTTCACAAGAGCAAAAATATGAACATGAATATATTCCACCTGAATTTAGAGATCAGCTCAAGAACAGATTTGATGCATTAAACACAAAAGACCGAAGACTAGAAGAGTTGTGAGATAACATCAAGAACATCATACCGGAAGAAAACAATATGTCATTATAAAGACCAGAAAGAAGATAAAGACCAAAATGAATGTCAGAAAAGACTCTGAAACTTGATTTCCAATATAGATATGCTAAAGCCAATAGAGCTCTGGTAGCGTAGTGGTTACAAACCGGGCTGCGAACCTTAAGGCCTGCAGTTCAAAACTGCCAGCTGTTCTGAGGGAGAAAGATGAGGCGTTCTCCTCCCGTAAAGATTTACAGCCTTGGAAACCCTGTACAGGGTCGCTATGGGTCAGAAATGACTCGACGGGCAATTAACAACAACAACAAGCCAATAGAAGAAATAAAAAAGGAAAAGAGCTGAATAGAAAATTTCAAAAGACTATTTAAAGTCAAATACTATAATGAAATGTGCAAAGATCTGGAGTTAGAAAACCAAAAGGAAGAATACACTCAGCATTCCTCAAACTGAGAGAACTGAAAAAAAAAATCAAGTCTCAACTTGAAATATTGAAG